GGGTGGGTTACCCCTGCATAGGATCAGTGAAGAGCCCCTTGAACTGGGACATGCGTTCCCCGGATGGCTTCACTCTCCTTTTGACTCTGCTGTATGCCAAGGCAGGGGGATAACAGGTTTCTTCAGCCAGGACATGTATGGGCAGAGGCATGGGACAGCTGCTTATTTCAGGACTCCTGCTAAATGGGGCTGTTTCTCTGGGGCAGAGCTCATGTGTTTGAGGAGCAGTCACTGTACCTGGGTGCCTGTATACCCACCTGAAGCTTATCTGGCAGCTGCCTCTCACAAGTCTCTCAGAGAAAGGGGAGTGAACCAAGCATGATTTGTTCTTTCTTCCTTACGGATTTAGTCCATTGCACGTGTCCTGGGCCATCCAAACAGGCTCGGTGCACTTAATGTGATCCCTGAATTTGAAGAACAGCAGGTAAACCTCTGTAGGAGGGTAGCTGCTCATGTGAATAGCTTGCAGTTCTTCAGAGAAACCCTTGACTTTGCAGCATCTTTTTCATTGAGTTCTTGCCTGTCCTCTTTTTTCAGTAGCACCCAGGTGGGTCAGTGCACTCCAGTAACACCCAGGCCTTTTCATATACCACATATACCACATCCCTCTAGCATTTAAGCACCTGCAGAGATGGAGAAGAATCATCATTATCATTGCCTCCATTTTATAGATAAGGAACTGAGGTTCAGTGAAGTCTAGTGACTTGCTTGGGATTGCATTTTGAGCCTATGGTAGTCCCAGCCCCAGTGCCTCCCTACAGGACCATCTTTTCTTTGCAGCACATAGCTCATTCAGTTGGGTTAAGTACTTTTGCCCTGACTACACCCTTCACAGCGGGCTCTCCCATGCCCTTTTGCCACCATAGCTTTATTTGCTGGCGTGTCATCCACCCTGGTCCATCTCTGAGCTTTGATCAGATCCATGGAAGTGAGTCTTCAAGTTGTGGGGCTGCCTGGATTCTCCAGGACTGACTGAACACCCCAGTCCCTGCCACTTTGGGTCTGGGAAGAATCAGGTAACGGTCTATGTAAAATACACCCTCCTCTTCCTTTATTTTGCTGTGGATATCGATGAATTGCAGAACAACAACACGGACTCTGAGGAACTCTGTACTGACCAGGAAGCTGAGAATCCAGACCCACACTGACTAATGCAGGCTGCAGCTATGTGTCACCTCTTAACTTTTTTCTCCTTCCCAGGTGCTTCTAATTACCAGGCCCACAAAAGGAACTGCAGATTAGCCAAGTGTGTTTACAGTTCAGAATCTGTTTACCCTTGTGCTGCTTGATGAAAGGCTGAGCAAAGGGCACGCAGCACTTGGCGGGTATCTGTTCCACATGTTTCTTTTGCCCCCAGAGCTGTTTTAGCTACTGACAAGCAAGTCGGCGCAGTGGAGCCCACACAGCTCTGAAGCTGCGAGCTGGATTTGGTCCTGCCTCTCGGCATCAGCAGAACCACAGGACTGTGGCTGCAGAACTGTTGCCAAGATGGGGGTACCAGGCCAATGCCTTTGTTCTTCAGCTTGTTGATGGGAAAGACCCCAGCTGAAATGGGGCCCTTCATTAAAACACTGTCCAGCCACATGTTAAGAGACAATGGCCCATCTGGCACAGCACTAGGTAATCCTCAATAGCCATGGGGCCGTGTGGTGTGTTGGCAGATTTGTTTGCAAGTATAAAGGCCTGTTGCTATCGTGCCATTCAGTGGCACTGTTTACCCTGGGCAGTCTGCACGCACCCATCACTGTCTGGAGCTGTCTGTCTTGTGCAGTGCAGAGGAGACGGGGAGGAGTGTGATGGCTCCTGCTGGACCGTCCAAGCGGCTAGTCTGGCAGCTGTAGCGTTGGCTAGAGTCTTCTCTCCTGGTCTTTTTAAGGCCTGCCTCAGTGGATGTGGTGCTACCACTGGAGCTCTCTGTGCCCTGCTTCCTCTGCCTTTTCTTTTAAGAACTGATTGTTTCCCCCTGCCTTGTCCATGGGGTGCACTTTGTTCATGAGTAGCCCCTCCAGAGGGTGGAGCATTCCTGCTTGTCCTTATTCCCATCTATCCTATGACACGTCAACGCAGACACACCTTAGCAACGTGGCATCAAAGAAACAATGCTTTTTCACAAGAAATTGCATCAGGGCCAGAACAGAGTTGGTGAGAATTCACTTTGGCCCTACCAGAACAGAGTTGTTGAGTCTGGTGTGCTGCAAGGTTCATTCAGCAGTATTTCTGTGGTCAAAGGTACTTCCGCCTCAGAGCCCTTTGCAAGGTCTGTGCAGTCTGGTCACAAGAACAAACTTGACAAAGGAGAAAGGGTCAATCAAAAGTTTGAATGGGATAGGAGACCCCAGGGAACTCTTGCTCTTCCCTAACTGGCCGTGAGCTGTTAGTGTCTCCCACTAACCCATTTTGTTCATCAGTGACCAGTATGAGAAGTACTTGCAGAAGGGCATCAACATGAACTGGAAGAAGTGGATCCCAGGCACCCAAGTGCACGATAAGGATTCCCTCCTGGAAAGCGGGGCTTGCTGCAGTTGCTCTTCTAGGGCTGGGGCATTAGGTTTGATGAGAGGGGAGAGTTTAAACTGAGCACGTGAAGCATTCTTGTAAGGGCTTCCTGGACATGGGGTTACAAAACGAGTGGCCCTGCTGCTGTTATCTGAGGCCTCCCTTTGCCTACAGGTGGGATATCTCTTGAGGATTGTCTCATGCAAGCATTGTGCTGTTTCTCCTGAAACACTGATTTAAATGGACAGATTTAGCTTAAACAGCTTTGGCCTGCACAGATCTGACTCTCTTAAGAGGCCCTTTGCCCTCTGGCCCTCTTAAATCAGTCCTGACTCCAGAGCCAGAGCAGCTGTATCATCTGTTTGCTGAGAGAACCGATCAGTCCCTTGACTTAATTTATTCCCTCTTTGTGACACCAGCCGTAACTCACTGGGTTGTTGGTTTAGTGAGCCATTAGGCTCTATCCCCTGCAGGATTTATTGAAGAGCTGGAGAAGGTCTTCTCCTAGGGGAAATCAAGAACTTGGGATCAGCTGTGTAGAAATGGAGATGAGGATACCAGAAATGTGTGGTGGGGTTGTCAGGAGGTGGACCCCTGGGAGGAACCCCCATGTCCATCCTTCCTTCATGGCCCTTTCATCTGTGAGCCCCTTAAAGAGGACCTCTGTCACCCAGGAGCCTTTGTGCTGCCGCTTCCCATGCTCATAGAAAGCAAGGAAATAAATTTACTGCAGGTTCAGTGCCAGGGCCCTCAAGGTCAGAAGTGGAACTTCATAAGCATCACCCCTCGTGCCGAGTGTGTCATAACCCCCTATCTCTATTCACAAGAGCCTGGGTGCCTGCATTTGCCATCCCAGAGCCCAAAAAACAGATGTATATTGTTTCTACTTCTCATGGGCTCAGGGAAATGTGTTGACTACCAAAGGAAGTGGTTTTCACTGAGCGCTGCTGGCTGGTGTAAAGTGAAAGCATCCCCGCTAACAACCGAGCTGTGGTTCTACTGCCCCACCCCCTCCAGTGGAGCTAAACAGACAGATTTAGCCCAGTCTACCTTGTGACATGATCAGGATTTAGCCCAGTCTACCTTATGATGCCCCAGCCTTAAGGGACCCTTTGCCCTCTGGCCCTATTAAATCTGACCTGTCTGTGGAGCAAGAGAGAAATAAAATTTTCCCCTCCCAACACAGGCTTGAGCTAAAGGAACTGCTCCCCTATGTCAGCTGACTGAAACAGAGAATGAGAGTGCATCTAAAATGGCTTGGCTATGAGAGGGCACCACATGTGCCCGAGCCAATGCATGGTCCTTGTCTTATGGGAAGTGGCATCCGGCAAGACAGCAAGCTCAATTCCACAAAGGATCTGTTGGCTGTTTGCAAAGCTGTTGGTAGCAGAGTTGGCCCTGCCTTTGTAGCAGATGCAATCCTGGTGTATGCTGAGCTGACTGCAGGGAGGGGGAAGTGGACATGATTTCACTCTCACATCCACGCATCCTGTTGTCTTCCAGGTCAGAGCGGCTTGGGGAAATCCACGTTAATCAACACTCTCTTCAAATCCAAAATTAGCCGGAAATCTGTGCAGCCAACTTCAGAAGAGCGGATCCCCAAAACCATTGAAATAAAGTCCGTTACTCATGGTGAGTCTCCCTGCAGGGCCTGTATACACACTTGGCTTTGGGTGCTGCAGGTTCTCTTTGAGCCTTGTTCCTCCAAGGGCTCGCCTCGTACCTATCTGCTCAGTGAAGGGGCCTGGGATGGCATACAGGGCCATCTAGTCTCCTAGCCATAAGACTAGAAGCTCTCCCTGTAGGGAGAGAGGCTGAATCACCTTCTTATCAGGGTTATAAGGGAGTTGCAATGCTTGTGAGCTAGAGGGACAATATATCCATTTGAGGGTTGCAGATACCACACCTCTGCTGATCTGGAGATGAGGGGAGCTCCCCAGGCATTTAGGTCTGTGGGTCCCTGTCACACATGGAACCCCTGCATGTTTGTCTGTTTCAGAAATCGAGGAGAAAGGTGTCCGGATGAAGCTGACTGTGATCGACACCCCAGGATTTGGAGACCACATCAACAATGAGAACTGGTGAGTTTTGGCCCTTAGTGCACTTTGCTGGCTGTGTGGATGCTTGGCTGGCCTCGGTCTTCCATCATGCAAGCTGTCTTGTCATGTACCAGCCTTCCTTTCTTCCCAAGGGCTCTGAGCCACCCCAGAGGGCAGGACAGGTCAGGGCTCATGACCGAAGTGCTGCAATGTCTTTCTAGGAGTGAAGGTTAAACTGAGCCCCATTCCTCTGTTGGCTGTAGGGCCAAAGAGTGGGAGGCAGGGCTCCATCTCACTAGCAGCAGGGAGGATGGGACTGCTGAACAGCTGGGATGGTTTGGCTGGCTGCAGAGGGAAGCTAATGCCTGCCAGCTTCCTTTCACTTCCAGCCTCTGTGCAAATGGCCTGGGAAAATTTGAATTCAGGTGAAACCCTCATAGCTGATATGGCTGATCCTTTTCCCTTTACCACCTTGGCTAAGAATGGCGCCTTTGAGAGAAAATCCTAGGAGCAATCACTGTTTCTGAATATCCATCTCGCCCCGTGTTGAAGGCTGGGTGTATGTGCATTATTTTATTATCAACAGTTTGTTTACCCACGAGCACCCTCCCTCTGTGGCATAAGCTGAGCACTTCGGGAATGTGGTCAAGTGTGACAGTCATCAGCGTTGAGCTGGGGGCAGGGGTGGGGGTTGAAGGTTTCTCTGTGGGCAGCAGAGATAAACATAGGTTCTTCTCCCTAGCCCCATCCACACCGTTCACCCCTCTAAAAAAAATCTTTTAGAAAAGCACTAAAAGCTTCACCTTCTTGTTAGGCTTTGGAGGCTCGTCTGTTGTAGTCTGTACAGTCAGTGGCCAGCTGCTCTGGCCCATTTACCCAAAGGGCAAGATCCAGTGACACCTGCTTACAGGTTGGGATGTGGGATCTAGTTTGGATGAGGAGGAGCTGGGAGCTGACTGGGCTAAGCCGTGAGGCCTTCCATGGCTTATCTGACCTTCCTTTAATATTTCTGCTCTGAAATGGGCCAGAGTCCAGGCCATCACAGGATGCATGACCATTGGTATTAGGCTGGTGACAGAGAAGCCAGCATGTTATTTAGCATTTCCATTTGTTACCAGTGAGAGGAGGTTGCATTTGAGCCCAGCCTTCCACAGGCAATGGTCAGAAGCTCTGCACTTCCTCCTAGTGTGAGAGGCAGAGTTCACAGCTCACGTAGCTGCAGTCTCCTGACATTGTGCATCCTGAACTCTGTTTGCTGTTAATGGCTGGGCCAGGGGGATTCTCGATTCTCAGGCAGCTGCTTCTTTAACAAGGAGCATGAACAAGGTCTGCTACTCCCACAATCTGAAGAGCAGCTAGGTATTTATCACACAGGACTCCTGACTTTTTTCCTGAGCTGCCTCCAGCCGTTATGACTAGGCGGTTATGGATACTAAGATATCCCCTGTGCTCCTGTTCAGGGGCTCACTCTTGCAAGATGATTATCGTTCTCTCTGCTCCTGCTGACTCCCATTAAAACCCTGCCTAGAGGGTGGTCTTGTCTCTTCCTGACTTCCAGCTCACCTGTCCGTGTGTCTTTCTGCACAGCTGGCAGCCCATCATGAAGTTCATCAATGACCAGTATGAGAAATACCTGCAGGAGGAGATCAACATTAACCGGAAGAAGCGGATCCCAGACACCCGAGTGCATTGCTGTATATACTTCATTCCAGCCACCGGTCACTCGTACGTATCCTGTATCCAAATAGTTTACTCTTTGTTATAGGGAGGGTAGCATGCCCCCCCTTGGGTCTGTCTGGTGCTGTCTTCAGTCACCTCAGCAGTTGGCAAGAAGATCACACCCCCTTTGCTCAGTGTGAGACTCTGCAGTCATTTCCTCTAGTCAACTAACTCTCAGGAGAAGGGGACAGAGCTTTTGCATTAAGTGTCTCATAACTCCCTGTGAGTTAGTGTGAACTTCTCCTACCAGAAGTTGCACAGTGACTCTGAACATACAGTCACGCACAAGCAGCGCACAGAAGTGCTATAGCCCAGCTCTCTTCCCCATGCAGCAGGACAAAGCAAACCTAGCCAGGCACAGGTAAAAACAAATATATAGGCATTGTCTTGCCTTTTTCCAAGGGCCTGTTAAACAGCTGACTAAAATCTAGGAAGGGATGTAGCTTTGCCAGGGTCTGTGTGACTGATGTCTGAAATCTGGTGGTATGGTTGAACCCAAATGCGTTTACGAGTGGCATTCTGTTTTTTCCTGGTCATCCAGGCATCCAGATTCAGTCACTCAGGACAGGAAAAAGGTATGTGGGTAGGTAAGTCCCTCTTGCATTATAGTCCAGTGGCTAGGGCACTCTTGTGGGATGCTGGAGATCCCTCTGTTCTAGATCTCCTTCACCTGGAGGGGGTTTGAACCAGGGTCCTTTTTTCCTTCCCAGAACAGCACATGAAGCACTGCACCCCTGGTTAGCCATTACTCTGACCCTTCCCTGGTGCCCTTTTGGACCTAAACCATTAACACAGTCTTTGGAAAAATAGATGGAGGGTGGAACAGTGAAGAGGGGAAGCTTCTGCCACACTGGGGACAAGGGCCTAGGCTAAAATCTAGGGCCCTTTCTTCCAGACCAGCAGCCATCTCCTAGCGCCCAGTGACTTCTGGCTTGCTTAATTTCTCTTGGCCTGACACATCACCCACAGGCCTTCCTCTCACGATAACCCAGGGGTGCAGTCTTCAGCAGGAGTGGATAGTGGCTGACCTGTGATGTGATGGTTGATTTGTGCAGGGAGGTCAGAGAGACCCAACTTCAAACCCCCTTTAGGAGAGCAAGGGCCAAAACCTAGGACCTCCAGCCTCCTGGGTGAATGCCCTACACATCAGCTATTTGGAGTGGGGGAAGGTGGAAGGTCTTGCCCTCTCTCTCATGTTATTGCCAGAGTATATGACCAGCCGGGCATTTGTGTAAGGCTGAACGCTGGAGGCTGCCAGCCTGTGCATGAAGTGACATTTAGGAACTTAGATGACCAGAAAAGAACAGACTGCAACTGGTATGTGTCTCTACCAGGGTGCCTGTTTTTGTAAAGTGAACTGGCCTAACAGCACAGACTAATAGAGCCAATATGGTAACCACGACAGAGTTAGTTTCAAATAACTTATTCATCTTGAAGTTGGTCACAGAATACCTCATCCATAGCTAATTTCTGGCCACGTCACTTTGGAAACTCAACTTGGGTATAGATGGAGATAACTGTTTGTCAATGCAGATGATACACATGGTGTTATGACATAACTGTTCCACCTCCAAACCTCTGTAGTAATACAGGTGAGATAAAACCATTCCAGCTGCAACCCTGTTTCATTCAGGGTCAAATGTAGGGTGAATTAGCTACTTGGATTGGTACAGGATCCTGCAGACATAAATTGGATTGCAGCCGCTGATGTGTGCTCCACAGTTCCTTCCCCCCCCCACCTTGAAAGCAACTGAAAGGTCCATTTGTCTATACCCTAGCAAGGAGCAAGACTTGTAAGTTTATAAGCTAAGGTGTGTATTCAAACTGATACAGTAATATTGAGTATAACGCCCCTTTGCAGATGCTTATTTTAGTCTGAAAGGCTTCTTTGGTTCAGCTTGTATCACATGGAAAGCAGCTTCAACTAAACCCCCAAAAGCCTCTTTTTCAAGGGCTTCTTAGGGCCAGGGTCCTTGGCAGCGTGAACACCCTGCACTTGTGTTGGTACAGTGCAGATATTATACATATGTGTGGTCTGTAAGGAGCCCAGTGTCATGAACTGTTAGATTTGGGCTGCTGACTTGGGGTTTTATGTGCTGTAGCCTTCAGTAGGAACAGGGGGAGCTGATGGCATTGTCTGTCTTCAGATCATTATTAAAGTAATAGGCCATTTAAAAAGCGGCAATTTTTCAGCCTGTTGACCATGATCTTCCTACTCTTCTGCAGAGGAAAAAGCCTGAACCTTTGAGCCCTTCCTTTGTGTGAAGGAAGATGGCATCTTTAAGAGGCCTGATCCACCTTCCAGTCCCCGAATGCAAACAAGGCTTCAAGTGCTGTGTGTCGCATGTTCTGGAGGATGGTGTTTGAACCCTTGGTACTGCCCATCTGTGTTACAAAAAGGGTTTGTAAATGGAGCCTCTGAGAGAGTGCAAACCATCCAGCCCACAGGCAGCCGCTCCTGGCCCCACTCCCCCCAAAAGTCCCTGGACACTGTTATGTGTGTGGCCATCACAT